CCTGCCTTAGCTCGCCGGGTCCCAGCTTTCGGTACCTAGGGGAGGGCTGTGAAGTCTGCCTCACAGGTGCTTCCTGCTCAAAAGGCTCCCTTGCCACCTCATTCTCCCCCAGAGACCCAGGCTCTTGTCCTCCCCTCCCCACCACTGAGCAGCCCCAAAGCCCTGATTCTCAGCCCCTCCTTGTTCCAGATGCAGCAACATCTGGCAAAGGCAGAAGCCAAGCTTCACACCCAGGACTCCAGGGGGCAGCAGGTGCTGAGCGAGTCAGTATACACAGACGTCCTGGACGGGAGCTGCAGCTGCTCCCAGACCTGGCAGGAGTGAGTTGAAAATCCAGCCCTATCTTCCTCCTCCAGGGGCAGTGCTGATGGGTGGAGGTTCCCACTCTCCCACTCACACTGCACACAGACTCCACTAGGCTCTGGTCCAAGGTACAGGGCTGTCTGAGACAAAGTCTGAGCTCTGGAGCTGGGAGCAAGTAGAAGGGTAGGTGGCCAGGGGACAACGTTGCTGTGTGACCTTGGGCCAGGAGCTTCCCCTCTCTGGTCCTCAGTTTTACATCAGGGAGGATCAGAGTCTGGGCACTGAACTCAGCAAATGCCTAGTGTTCCCAGCTTCATGTGGAGGTGGGTCCCTCACTGGCCAGGCTCCCACTAATGTTGTATCCCTCCCCTCCCCACTGCCTCCAGCTATGGGGTCCGAGAAGTGAACCAGGTGAAACGTCTTACGGGCCCGGGGCTAAGCAATGGGCCAGAGCCAGGCATCAGCGTGATGATCACGGGGGGCCCCTGGCCCACCAGGTAATGACAAGAGGGTAAGGGGTGGGATGGAGCCCTTGGGGCCTTGGTCTCCCCCTCTGTGGGCTGGGCAGAGCCTGAAGCTCCCGCTGGACTCCCCTAGGCTCTCCTCGACATGTTTGCACTACCTGGGGGAGTTTGGAGAAGACCAGATCTATGAAGCCCATCAACAAGGTGCAGGGGCTCTGGAGGCGTTGCTGTGTGGAGGCCGCCGGGGAGCATGCTCAGAGGAGGTGCCAGTCACCAGGGCAGAGCTCTAGTCCTTCTTCCCCGTCCTGGTCAGCCCCTGAAGAGAGCTGCGGCTTCCTCTGGATCTGCCCCACACCCTTCTACAGGCTGCCGCTCTCCCTCCCTCCTCCAGCTTCGGGGCACTGGGGCCTGGGCAAGGGCCAAGGCCTTCCCCTCTGGACTCAAATAAAACCCAGTACCTCAATTACTTCTCTCTGCAAAAGATGTTTGGGCAGCTGGGAGGACAGACATTGGTGTTTCTGCTGATGTTGCTCCTAGAGAGGGCCAAATACATGTCCCCACAGTTTCCCAGGGTAAGTGAGATCTGTCATGGTTGGAAATGTGAGCGAGCTGTCAAAGGCATATGGAAGCAGTTATATGAACGGTGAAACCTCCAATCCATGACGAGAGAAAAGAAAAACCAAGGAAAACTCCACAGGCACACTACCTTGTGGACACGCCTACTGCAACCACTCCACACCATCTGTGTCCTCCCAGAACACTGGTCTCACTGGGCCTACGCCCAGCAGCTGCTCACTTCCTAAACTCTGCCTCTGTCCCCAGCTGGCATGGTTGGAGCCTAGGTGCCCACCTGGGACAGGACAGGGCAGGGTTCCTGGAATGGGCTGGATTCAGCGTCTTGGTGCTAAGTCCTGCTCTCCCCAGAAATTATTCTGACCTAGGGCCCTTTCCTCAGCAACAGAGGAAAGGGCCCCACCTGGGTCTGGGAACCTAGGGTCAGGTGGCGCTACAACTCACAGTTGCCTTTGTGAGTATCTCTGATCCACGGAAGCCCTGGGAGGTGAACAGAACAGAGGCTCTAATCCCCAGCTGACAGACACAGAAGCCGAGACTTAGACAACAAAAGAGGCTCAGGCCAAGTCCCCGGCTGAGTAGTGGCAGGGCTGGGAGGAGATTCAGATTTTGGGGGTTGGGAAAGGTCTTTGCTGGAGGGATGGGGGTGCCCCAGGCAGGCCCTGACCACTGCAGCTTCTCTGAGCTATACTGCAGCCCAGCCCCCTACATTCCATCACCTGTTCCCGATCTGCCTGAGGTCCCTCCTCCCTGGCCCTCTCCCCAGGAGAGAACCCCTAGGCACCAGGAGGAGAGCCAGTGCCCAGGAACTGGCTGAGCCACCAGTAGTATCAAGCGTGGAGCTGGGACCTGTGATGTGGACCTGTGTGGCCCTCTGTTTATGTGGAGTGATTTGGAGAGACTCTGAATCAGAGCCTGGGTGTTGTGGGTCCATTTGTGTGACTGTATCTGAGACCATGTGCAACTTCCCGGCCTTGTCTCTGTGTATGTGGTGTGTGGTTTGAGTTGAATTGAGTGTCTACTGGACTGTGCTGGTGGAATAGTTGGGGCTCTGTTTGCACAGCCCCCTGGGGAGTAGAGGAGAGGAGAAGGTGGGGAAGAAAGTGCTAAGGAGGGGCTGGCCCGGTGGCGCAAGTGGTTAAGTGTGCGCGCTCTGCTGCGGCGGCCTGGGATTCGCCGGTTCAGATCCCGGGCGCGCACCGATGCACTGCTTGGCAAGCCATGCTGTGGCGGCGTCCCATATAAAAGTGGAGGAAGATGGGCACGGATGTTAGCCCAGGGCCAGTCTTCCTCAGCAAAAAAAAAAAGGAGGAGGATTGGCAGATGTTAGCACAGGGCTGATCTTCCTCACCAAAAAAAAAAAAAAAAGAAAGTGCTAAGGAGCAGCTTAGAGGCTTCAAACTGGTCAGACAACTTTGGAAGCTGGGAGCTGGAGCCAAGAAGGGGGAGGACAGGGTAGGCAGACAGAGGAACAGCCTGAAGGCTGGACAGGCTGACAGATTCAGGGCTGTGGCATGAAGCTGCTGCCCAGCTGGAGAGCAGTGCTGCCCGTGGGCCCTCGGGGCAGGGCCTAGCCATGAGCACAGCAACCCAGAAGTAGGTGGGCCCTAAGAGGACTGGGGCTGGGCTGGGGCAACACAGAGGAGAGCAGAACCAGGGACCGCAAGCCCAGCCCCCACCAGCTGAGGAGCCTCAGCCCCTTGAGCCCTTCCCAACCCCCGTCAGCCAACTCCAGGCCCGATGGCCTGGCTGGGCCAGGCCACCCAGGAGAAGACAGGCTGGGCCCAGGGCTGACTTCAGGGGCTCTGTGACATGCATTCACACAGGGCCCAGTGCTTAGAAAGGCCCTACATTTTGTTTAATGCTCTGCTGGCGCTGTCTTAAAATTTTTAATGTTTTTGGAACAGGGGCCTCACATTTTCATTTTGCACTAGGTCCCACAAATTATGTAGCCAGTCCTGGCTGGGAGGGGAAGGGAATCCTTGTCCTGACACAGGGGACAAGCAAGGCTGGGCCAGCCTCAGCAGCTCCTTCTTCAGAGGCCCATCTGTTGTGTGCCTCAGGGACCTTGAGGGGTGAGTGGCAGTGGAGGGGAAGGCAGTCCCTTAACACTTTTTTTTTTTTTTTTGCTGAGGAAGATTAGCCCTGAGCTAACATCCCCTGCCAATCTTCCTCTTTCTGTATGTGAGCCACAGCATGGCCACTGACAGACGAATGGTGTAGGTCCACACCCGGGAACCAAACCCAGGCCACCGAAGCAGAACGTGCCAAACTTAACCACTAGGACACCGGGGCTGGCCCATCACACATTTAATGTATGATTTACAGCAGGAGCTCAGGAGCTTGGGCCAACCTGAATTTTAGGAATGGTTTTCTAAAATCTTGCTACCTGTGTGGCCTTGGTCAGATCTTATCTCCTAAATCTGTTTCCTCAGCTGTAAAAACCACCCAGTGCCTGAGGTTAAACACAACAATACATAGATGTTGCTTGGCACGTAGTCATTCCTCAGTAAGGAGAGTGGTTATAATGATGATAATGATTAACTCGTTATTAATAAGTGAGAAAGGGCTTCATGCAGAGTGTGATAGAGTAAGTGCCCATTTCTACTTCCTGTCCTCTCACCTCATCTAGGGTTTGGTAAACTGCCAAGACCGCCCACTCCTCACCCCCACTCTGGCCTTCTCTTGGAAAACAAGAATGCGTCTCGTGCCCAGGCTCAGGTGCCGGCGGTGAAGTGAGTGCTCAGGAGATAACTGTGGCAGAGGCTTGGGCGGGCTTTACCACTATGGCCAGAGTTAATAATGACCTCCGCCCGGGTCCTCCTTTCGTAATCAGAGCTGGGGATCTGGTTACAGATTTACTTCGAACAATGTCTGATATGCGGAGTAAAGTCCTCCTTGGCCTTCATAAAGCCATCCCCTCTTCTCCTCAGGAACTGCACACGCCTATGCCCCAAAGATGAGGGCCCAAGAGGACCCCAAAGGCCAGACACAGGTGCTGGGGGACTGGGTGGAAGTTGGTGGGGGCAGGGCAGGGTCGGGGCTGGAGAGCCTATGCAAGCCTTCTCCCTGGGAGGGCAGAGACAAAGGTTCTGATGAACTTGATCAAGAGTGACTGTTCTCAGCTGACTGTGGCAATTGGGGGATGGGGTGGGGATGGTAGTAGGGGTGAAGGAGCCTTTAGCTTTGGGACTGTATGACTCCAGGTTCGGGGCTAGCAGGGGCCCAACCTATCTCCCCCTCAGTGACACCCTAAGGACCTCCAAGGGGCCGAGGTGGGACCAGAGTAGGCCCAAGAGGGCCTGTCCACCATCTCCAGCCCTCTTTGCCTCCCTCTCCTGGTGCCCCCTAGACATTCTGACTTAGGGGCCCACTCCTTTGGCTAGAATGCCCGGGTTTCGAGGGCTCCAGGAGCCAGCACAGTGGACTCAGCCCTATACGAGCTATTGCCTATAAGGCAATGTGAGGTGAGAGCCAGGTGTAGCCAGGCTGAGGGACATGTGGGTGGGTAAACCATGAGGGAAGGTGGGGCTTGGGCCAGGCTTGGACCCCATTTTGATAGGCCACTCAGACTTCATGATTGATTCTGGGGCAGAATGGACTTTGCCAATCCCCATCGCTCCACCCTGAGTTGCTTCTTTCTGCTGCCTCCAGCATGAGTCCCCAGGCTCAGCAGGGACCTCTATGAAGGACCCCCCAATGTCCCTGCCCAAGTTTGAAGAGCCCAAGTTTGACATGTTGTACAAGATCGAGGACGTGCCACCCTGGTACCTGTGCATCCTGCTGGGCTTTCAGGTGGGTTTCCCCCCAGGGCCTCCCACCCCCACTCTGCATGCTCCCCAGGTTCCCAGCCCCCTCCCTGGCCAACAAGGTTATCTTGGGTAACAGAAAGAGAAACCTAAGGTCAGCAACAGTGACTGTCACCAAGCAGGGGTGGGGGAAAAGGCTCAATGGTGCCTGAGAGATCCTGTGTCACCTGCCAGGCAGAGTGTCAGTGACGGAGAAAAGGGCCCATTCCACAGCAGCCATAGGAATAACTTGGGGGCAGATTAGTAATGCCCAGAGAGGTGAGCAGTAGGTCTCTGGGAATCCCTCGTGGGAGGGTCAGTCCTGGGTGGGCACATTGCCAAGGGAGGCATGGGTTCAGGCCCACTGAGGCAGGCATGAGGGCTGTTAGGGGCCCGTTTCCCTGTGAGCTCCATGTGCCCTGCCTCATGCACTCTCTCCCCTCCCCCTAGCATTACCTGACATGCTTCAGTGGCACCATCGCTGTGCCCTTCCTCCTGGCTGAGGCGCTGTGTGTGGGCCGCGACCAGTACATGGTCAGCCAGCTCATCGGCACCATTTTCACCTGCGTGGGCATCACCACCCTCATCCAGACCACACTGGGCATCCGGTGAGCTGCCCCGTCCCCACAGGGACACACACAGTAATCCACACAACAGGAGCAGGTGGTTTCTCTCAGAGGACTCTTATGGGACAAAAAATGCTTGAATCTGCCCCCACTTCCAGGCCAGCCTTAGAGCCAGGCACTTGGGGTCCTACCCTTGGCCCTGGGCAGTCCTCAAGGGCAAGGAGTCTGTGGGTTTAAGGGAATGTGTCCTAGCTGGGCTCTTCCCCTGTTAAGCCCTACTCTGGGTAATCAGGACCACCAGGGCCTGTGTGGTGCTCTTCAATGGCCCATCCTCCTGGGGTCCCCCTGCTCCTGTATGCACAGCCCTAGGCCTGGGTGGCCAAAGGACAGCTGTTTGTGTGGTGGGGGGATGGAGGGAGGCTGTGAGTGGAGCTCGGATGCAAGAACTGAGCTGTCTACTTCTGTGCATGTGGCTCCTCACAGTGTAGGAGCTGGTGTTGAGAAGGAAAGGGGGCAGGTTGTGGGCGAGGGGCTCCATGTGTTTTCTTCTTGGGCCCCCAAATGTTACAGTCCTGCCTGGGGCCTCAATGATTTCCCTCTGCTCTGCCCCTGCCCTGTCCCTCTGTGTCTCTGTCCCTGTGTTTGATTCTCTCTATCCCTCCCTCTGTGCCCCTCTCTCTGGGTCTCCCCATCTCTGTGTCCCTGCCTCTGCCCCGCCACCCCGACCCCGGCCCTGCTCCTCTGTGCCTCTCTTTCCAGGCTGCCGCTGTTCCAGGCCAGCGCCCTTGCATTTCTGGTCCCAGCCAAAGCCATCCTGGCCCTGGAGAGATGGAAATGCCCGCCGGAAGGTGGGCACACTTCTGGGGTCTGCACTGGAGAGGGGAGGCCCAGGAGCCTGGAGGTCTGGGTGACTGTCCTGAGTCCAGACACTGGTGTGCATTCTCTCCTTCTCTTCTCTGTTCCCTGTCCATGTGTATGTGTGTCCCTTTCTCTGCCCCTAGAGGAGATCTACGGTAACTGGAGTCTGCCCCTGAACACCTCTCATATCTGGCACCCACGGATGCGAGAGGTGGGTTTGCACGTGGGGTAGAAGAGACCTAGACCTGAAGAGGGGGCTAGATGGGAAAGAAAGCCCACTGATGAGTTGGGGGATGCAAGGAGGTGGTCCAAGAGCTTTTTTTATGTGGAGGTCATGGCCTCTACATAGTGACTTACAGCTGATCTTTGCTCTTCCAGGTCCAGGGCGCAATCATAGTGTCCAGCATGGTGGAGGTGGTGATCGGGCTGTTAGGGCTGCCTGGGGCCCTGCTCAGCTACATTGGGCCTCTCACGGTTACCCCCACTGTCTCCCTCATTGGCCTCTCTGTCTTCCAAGCTGCTGGAGACCGAGCAGGCTCCCACTGGGGCATCTCAGCTTGGTGAGCAGGCACCAGGCTTGATCCTTGCCCAGCTCCAGCCTCCTCACCCCCTTCATGTCTTGCTCCCTTAGTCCTGGCTCCTGCCCCCAGCCTCGCCTACCAGCCATCTCTTCCTTGTGCCTCTGCCCCCAGCTCCATTCTCCTGATCGTCCTCTTCTCCCAGTACCTGCGCAACCTCAACTTCCTGCTGCCTGTCTACCACTGGGGAAAGGGCCTCACTGTCTTCCGCATCCAGATCTTCAAGATGTTTCCCGTGAGGAGCTGACAGGCAGCTGGGTTTGGGACTAGGGCAGGGGTTAGACCTGTGTCCAGGGCTAAGGTTGTGGGCAAGGGCTGGGACAGAGGGGGAGCTAGAGCCAGAGCAGAGATGAGGTCCCAGCCAAGGACTGGAGTAGGTGTTGGGGCGAGGTCTGAGCTAGGGCTGGGGCAAATGCTGGGGCTGCAGCTAGGGCTGAGGTAGGGGCTGGTTAGCCTGGACTGAGCTCTCCAGGGCAGCTCAGTGCACCCCTTGCCCCACCCCACTTCAGATTGTGCTGGCCATCATGACTGTGTGGCTGCTCTGCTACGTCCTGACCCTGACGGACGTGCTGCCCCCAGACTCCACAGCCTATGGCTTCCAGGCACGAACGGACGCACGAGGGGACATCATGTCTATTGCACCATGGATCCGCATCCCCTACCCCTGTGAGCCACCCGATCTGGGCCCTCTGCCTCCAACTGAGACCATCTCAGGCCCCTGGTGACCCCAGTTCAGCTGATAACACAACTAGCATCAGATGCCTATGTATAGCGTGCCAGGCAGAGTGGTGTTTTGCTCAAAGCCTCACTCCAGCTTCATGACTCTGAGTGATCCCAAATAAGCTCCCACAGCTTATTTGTACAGCTCCCACCTCAGCTTGACATCCCTTCCCCTGCACCCCTGCCCAAGTCCTGCCTAGTCTACTTCCTGGCCCACCTAGGAGCACTGCATCCATCCTCCTGTCTCCTCATAACCCAGGTCAGTGGGGCCTGCCCACAGTGACTGCGGCTGCTGTCCTGGGAATGTTTAGTGCCACACTAGCAGGCATCATTGAGTCCATCGGAGATTACTATGCTTGTGCCCGTCTGGCTGGTGCGCCACCCCCTCCAGTACATGCTATCAACAGGTATGCCCACCTGCTCTCCCCAATATCTGATCCCCTCAGGGGCCACACAGGAAGCAAAGGTAGAAACAGGGTTGAGGCCCAGAGATGTGGACTTGGGCAAGTCACTAACTCTCCAGACCTCGTTCTCCTTCCTCATGAAATGGGGATGCTCTCATCACTCACTCTGAGTGTTTCCAGTAGCTGAGGAGATAATGAAGTCCGAAGGAAACTACAGTCATTGACAACAGTCCATGTGCCTAGCCGTTGATGTGCATTCTTTTATGCAGTCTGCTAACGACTCTGTGAGACAGGTACCCTTATTATCCCCATTTTACAGATGAGGAAACTGAAGCCCAGAATAGCCTAACGGAATAAGTGCCAGGGCACTGGACTACTGCTTGGACCTGGGCTCCTGGCTCCCAGACCTACCTCTGGCCTGGAGTGGGAATTACTACGGACACATAGTTGCAGCTAGCACAGACCCAGAGGCGGCCAGCAGCCCGGTCAGGGTGACGGGGTGATGGGAGGACACAAGCCGGTGCAGAGGCTGGACCAAGCCCCCCACTCGCCCTTTCCTTACAGAGGCATCTTCACCGAAGGCATCTGCTGCATTATTGCAGGGCTGTTAGGCACTGGCAATGGGTCCACCTCGTCCAGCCCCAACATTGGCGTCCTGGGGATTACCAAGGTGCCACGACAAACCAGAGCAGCACTAAGCCCCACCCCCATCCCGTGTGCCGCAGGTCTAGCCCCACCCTGTGTTTGAGAGGACCCGCCCTGCATCAAGCCCTGGCCCATTTGTGCCTCGCTCTCTTATCAGGCTCCGCCCCCGGAACTACCCCGCCCCCGCCTGGCCCCGAGTTTAGCCCCGCCCCCTGGCTCTTTGGCAGGTAGGCAGCCGGCGCGTGGTGCAGTACGGTGCGGGTATCATGCTGGTCCTGGGCACCATTGGCAAATTCACGGCTCTCTTCGCCTCGCTCCCGGACCCCATCCTGGGGGGCATGTTCTGCACCCTCTTCGGTGAGTGCCACGCGCGTGTCCGGGGACGCGGCGCGGTTGCGGAGTGGTGGAGCCCACTCAGCCCGCGCAGTGCCTCCAGCGGTTCTCCTGCGCCCTCAGGCATGATTACGGCTGTGGGGCTGTCCAACCTGCAGTTCGTGGACATGAACTCCTCCCGCAACCTCTTCGTGCTCGGGTTTTCCATGTTCTTCGGGCTCACGCTGCCCAATTACCTGGATTCCAACCCCGGCGCCATCGACACAGGTGCTTCCGCCTGTCGAATGTCTCTGGGGGTGGGGGAGGTGTGGTAGGCCCGACTCTGAGCACAGCCCCCTTTTCTCAAAGGCTCCACACAGCTAGAGCTACAAATCCTGCCCAACTCTGGATGTTAAATAGCAGCTGTCCTTTACGAAGACACTTTCTATGGACAGGTATTGAGCGGTACACGTGCTCATTTAATTTTCACAACAGCTCCAGGAGACAGATACGATTATTATCTCCATGTTAACAGATGAGGAAAGTGAGGCTCAGAGAGGGTAAATGATTTGTCCCAAGACAACAAGTAGCAACTAACAAAACTGGGATTTGAATCCAAGGATGGAAGAGGATGTGCAGAGAGGCCTGAAAGTCAGTTTTGTACTGTCCCATCTCCACACCTGCTCAAGGAAGTCAGCAGGCTGCACAAGTGGGGAAAAACTCCCTGAGCTCTGTTCTCTCGATGGAGCCATGACATCCATTGGCCCTTGGCCTATTCCACAGGCATTCTTGAAGTGGACCAGATTCTTACTGTGCTGCTGACCACGGAGATGTTTGTGGGTGGATGTCTTGCTTTCATACTGGACAACACAGTGCCAGGTATGGGTCAGCCCTGGGAGGAGAACACATAACAAGGCTGGACTCACAGGCACTCCAACAGATGGCCCCTGAGCCAGAGCGCAGGTCCAGTGCAATGCAGGCCCTGCAGGGAGAAGCAGGAACAGATGGGCTGGTGCAGTGCCTGCTGACTGGAGGGCGAGACCAATGGTTAGACAGAGGCACAGATATACCTCATAGGTCTTGAAGATGGTGGGGCTAGGAGTCATTCCAGGGCCTTGAGTTGTTTCCTCTCCATTTCTTGACAGCCATCAGGTTGAGGGGTGCCTTTGCTTTCTTAGAGTAGGACAGATACAAATGCAGTATCAGTATGTTGGTAACACCCCACCAAATATGCCAGCAACCGGTCAACCTGGCTACTAGAAGAGTATCAAGGCTTTTTGAAAGGATCATGGAGGATATTTTGTGGGGTCCCTGAGAACCCTCCCAGCCCACGTTTATGTGCCCAGTAAATATATTTAAGAACTACATGTCACTGGTTGCTCTAACTAGTAACAAGCATAGTTAACATTTACCAAACACCTATGGGTCAGGCATGGAACCATTTCATCCTCAAAAACTATCCTGTGAGGCAGAGACTATCAACACCATTTTATATGAGGAAACAGAATCAGAGAAGTTAAGTGACATGTTGAAAATCTGGGATTTTAACAAAGTCCGTCTGATGCAGTCAGTCCATTGCCTGTGTTCTAACAACTGCACCACACTGCCTCTGCTGGAAGTTTTCAAGGGAACTGGAAGATCAGGGAAAGCTCTGTGGAAATGGGTTAAAGACTGCATTAGTCCAGGGAGATGAGGGATGGGAGTAGCAGGATGATGGCCTTCCATCCCTCACCACTTACCAGCCTGAACATAGCTGCAGGCCCTGCTTCCTTCCCTCTCTCTGAAAATACAAGTGTCTATTCAGAGCACAGGAGTCAGAGGCTGGCTGTGCACAGCTAGTGGGTTGGAGTTTGGGCAAGGCAGGGCGAGGGATCCCTGGCACTTTTAGGAATTTTAGGCAGCATCAGATGATGAGGGAGCTCTGGGTAGCAGCTACCCCTTGGATGGATGGGTGGTACCTGATCATGGCACCCAACACCTCCAGGCCATTTAGAGGAAGCTGGGATGGGGGCTGCAGCAGCCCAACCTGTGACCTGAGACAGGGAAGTGGCAGCCTCAATGCCTAGGGAATCTGGAGAGGAGGGCAACTGGGTGGGCAGCTGTACACTGAGGGGCTTCTTTGTGATTTGGGTAGCTGAATTAAACTACCCAGATGTTAACAATAGCCTCAGACTGCCTGAGTTCCTCACATCCCCATCCTTCAACCAACCCAATTGCTCATCAGTAACCATCCCTGCCAGGGATCATTATATGTGTTATGCTACATAATATTCAACAGTACTTCAATGTGTATTGATGCTGAATCTGAAACTCAGAGTGGTTAAATCACTTGCCTAAGGTCATACAACCTGGATTAAAACCCAGGCGTGGCTGGTTCAGAACCCAGTTCTTAACCATGAAATCACACAGCTTTCTTCTGTGTGATGGGCATACTTTCCTGATGGGCCACTTTGCACTGGTTCTTTCTCTTTACCCATCCACAGCCCAACTTTAGAGGGGCAGGCAATTTAGTTCAGCAAATGCTAGTGGGGCCTGCCAGCTTGGCCCTGGCTTAAACACTGAAGGGGATGTGCAAAAAAGACTATAAGTTACAGTTTGTTTTGAGGAGCGCCTAGCACAAGATAGGAAGTAAAACTGTGTTTAAGGCAATTTAGAGCAATTAAGGTCAATGACCCTGGGCTGGAGTCACCTGGAGGGCTTCCTGAATGACACCAGATGGAGCCTAGGAGAATGCAAGGGACTTGGAGAAGCAAAGGAGGGCACTGTAGGTAGGGATGTGGAGGGTAGGCGAGGGAGCTCTGGGCCAGCTGTTGTGTGAGGGGGGCAGGGCGATCAGACAACATAGTCCTGTGCCACACCTACAGCTCTTCCCCCTCCACTCTGCCCATCTGTGCTCTTTGTGCAGCTAGCCCAGCTCAGATAGTACCTCCTCCAGGTAGTCTTTCCTAAGGACCCCAGCCCTCCACTCTCGAGATTTTGGAATACATTTGGTTTGCACTACTCATGCGGTTGTCAGCCTGGGCTGCCAGCACGTGGAAATCTCACTCTTTCTCCTAGATTTACTATATGTCACAGTCTTTGTCTACCCCATCCCTCTTGTGAAAACCTCAGAGATCTCAGGCACCCCTCCCCAACCTCCTCAGAATTTCCCTAGTTGTAAAAAAATCTCTTATATCACTACCACCACTGAAGATTTTACTTAGCTTGAAATTCTCAGGTTTGTATTAAAAAATAAGACTTTATTTTCCAAATTTGGAATCATAATATTAAATATTAATACCTATTATAGTGTTTCAAAATATACCTCCCTGCCCCCACAGCAAAGTCTGGGCACTATTTAGTTCTCATGGGCCCAGCACACACTAGCTCTAGACTCAAGATGTAGGTTGACAATTACTTAAAATTTCTGCCTGTTTCTTCATCATAAAATTTTATTATAGTGCCTATACACCTCCCACAGGTGTTTTGAAGAAATGAGAAAATGAAATTAAAGCACTTAGCACAGAGCCTGGCACACTGTGGATATGCAATAAATACTAATTATAGCTGTACCCTTTAGAGTTCCCTAGAGCTCTGGCCAATTTAGGAGCCGAGAAATCATGGATTCAACAGCTTTTTAGGACCAGAAGATATTTCAGAACCAAGAAACTTGACTCCAGAAGTCGTTCTAAGGACCAGGTTAAGGGGAGGCAGCAGAGGGTTGCTGGCCCTGGTGACACCGCTGTCCTTTTCCAGGGAGCCCAGAGGAACGAGGTCTCAAACAGTGGAAAGCTGGGGCCCATGCCAACAGTGAGATGTCTACCAGCCACAAGAGCTATGACTTCCCCATTGGAATGAGCATGGTAAAAAGGATTACCTTTCTGAAATACATTCCTATCTGCCCAGTCTTCAAAGGCTTTTCTTCAAGGTCAAAAGGCCAGCTTCCAGTTCCAGAAGACACTCCAGAAAATACAGAAACTGGGTCTGTGTGCACCAAGGTCTGAAAAATTACTCCCAGGAAAGGTAGGACGTGTGTTTAGTCTATGACTTTTGTGGGAGGGTTGAAAAATCACAACATCTTTATGCTTTTACCAAAGAAAAGCCAAACTACTCAGTTTCCATTTTTGTGACCTGAGTGTATTCAAGCAGAAGGTAGAACTAGGTAAAAAGTCAATATATGGATTGCTGGTAGAATTCCTTAGCCATTTTAGTCAGAGTGGAACTTCCCAACTGGTATGGGCCACTAAGAGGTTACAAGTGTGCTGAAATATTGATCACTTCAGTCTTCTGGGTATCTGGGCAGAAAATGGGTCACCTGGAGCCCATAAACTCCAGCCACAGGCAGCCTCATCCTTGCACTCAAGTATACTAAACAAATATCACTTCATGACATGAAAAAGGTTGAGAAATAGTGACATAGCACAACAACAGGAAAAATCCCCTCACACAAGCTGCCTTGTTTCAATAGTGGTCATAAAATAAAAACCCCATGAAAACAGGATGACTTCAGTTACCCTAAAATGATGCCATATAGGCCCTGATGGGGTGATCATTTATGCCAAGGGCTTCAAAATAGAGTAGCTGAAGCTCTGAAACTTTCCATCTCTACTTGTAATGCAGATGCCTGGCTCTCTAGTTAAACATCAAAGTAGTTTTAATGTGCATGTTCCCTCAGACAGGCAAGTTCGAACAAAATGAGAACTTAGCCTAGATGATTCCTTAATAGTAGTAATAACAACAATTGCTTAGAACTTTCTATGTGCCAGGGACTGTCTTAACTGCTGCTTGATGTATATTAACTACACAATCCTGAGATAGATACTGTTAACATTACCATTTTAAAGAGGTGGAAACTAAGGCACAGAAAGGTTAAGTGACTTGCCCTCGATCACTGGATTCACATCCAGGAAGTCTGGCTAATCCTTGCTCTTAATCATTAGGTTACAATGCCTCTTTAATTCAAGTTTATAATCTCCAATTATACTGCACTATGATAATTTGGCAGTATGTGGAAATGAACTCATTTGCCCTGTATGAGCTCAGAGAGAAAGGATCTGTAAGCTTCAAATATTTGGCAGTCTGCTGTGCCACTTGTGGTACTGAGCTGTTAGAGAACAGAGGGAACTGGTTGTATCAAGGCTCCAAAAAGAAAGAGAGCCAAGCAGGATCATCTCTGCTTCAGTGTTTCTCAATAAATCTACCCGATTATTAGTTTGTTAAGGTGGCTATTAAAAGACACTGGGGCAGGACCGGCCCTGCGGCTTAGCGGTTAAGTGCGCGCGCTCCGCCACTGGCGGCCCGGGTTTGGATCCTGGGCGCGCACCAACGCACCGCTTCTCTGGCCATGCTGAGGCCGCGTCCCATATACAGCAACTACAAGGATGTGCAACTATGACATACAACTATCTACTAGGGCTTTGGGGAAAAAAAAGGAGGAGGATTGGCAATAGAGGTTAGCTCAGAGCCAGGCTTCCTGAGCATAAAGAGGAGGATCAGTATGGATGTTAGCTCAGGGCTGATCTTCCTCACAAAAAAACAACAACAACAACAACAAACAACACTGGGGCACAAGTGCTTACATCAAAGGATCCCCAGGGAGAATGTGAGCCAGAATTGACTACATGGCCTTCTTAATCTTCTTGAGCCCAACAAGCTCAAGAAAAGCACAGAAGACATCATCAACAACTAAGTTAGAGCCATGAGGCAGAACCGTATGTGGAACCAGGAAATTGCTAGTCAGGAAATTGCTAGTTGGTTGACAGCCTATTCCAAATAAAGATTAGCCACAAACATATTCTAAACAAGCTTGTGAGGGGAAAAAGGGGAAGGTCCAGGTGAATCAAAATAGCAAACCAGCTCAATTATGACCAGCAATGGCTTGTGAATGGCAGAAACCAATGGAGGTTATACTAGAGTAAGGTTACCATCATACTGGTCAGCGAAAAAGTTTCTTAACGTGGATATCTACAATTGCCCTGACAGTGCAGCCTGAGGTGCTCAAGGTGGGTTATGGAAGGGACTCTGGGGTTTATTTTACTAGTGTATTTCAGACAGATACTTGCATAACATACTTGACACTATAATCTAATAAAGCTTGCTCTCTCAGCATATCTTGCCAGCAGGGTTGTCCTAACGTACTGAGCCCATTCTAAAGTGAATATCACCACTGGAGAGTCTGCATTCCAGCATCAATAAACACAACCATCAGCTCAGTTCTACTATTATTTATTTTTTTAAATATTTTTGAAAAAATATAATTTTTTTACAATATTTTCAACTTAAACACTATTCACACTGAACACGTATGGCAGCTTAACCTACCCAAATATGAAGTTTAAGAAGCCAAAACTGTTCTAGCTTTGTTAAAAGAAAAGTTGTGCTGTAGACTACTGTAGTGATGGTTAACAAAGCAAGGAAAAGCACCACTCAAAGCATATGTCACAATTTCTTTGTTCAATTGGATTACGGATTGGTCAAATGTTAGACTTTACACAGGCATAGCTACAATAGTGACTCCTTAGAAGAAGATGCAATTTTCAAATCACATACTTCCCCAGATGTAACATTAGGAGAATTCAGATTTCTTACATGATAACATACCATAAAAGCCAGGACTAATTCTCATCTGATCACTACCCTGTAACCTCAGTAATGAAAGACATACTTGTCTATGATGAATTATTTCAAATTAACTAACAAGCTTTCTTCAGAAAAAGGAGATTCTTTTTGATGGGGACAAATGCAAATTTAAGTCTTAACTGAGAAGTCTGCTTAACAACTACAACTTAATTTACACATTTAAAAAAAGTTTAGACATTAATAAGTGTTAGTTAACCATAAGGAACCAGTTTAGTCTAAAAAAGACAATTCACTAAGATTTAGCGGTCATTTAATGTGGTGCTTTGTCACAACTTGACTGGTGCTTCCTTCCTCGCTGTCTTCACATCAAGCCATGGGGCCAATTCTATTTTCAGTAAATGTTGGACAGCTTTTTACTTAATAACAGTCTCAGCACTTTTATTAAGCATGCAAGACTAACAAAACTTTGGCAATGCATAAGTGTAACACAGTGACAAGAGAGAGCTTTTACAATTAAGTCTTCTAATACTGCCTTCACAGTGTGGAAATTGTGCTACATCCACCAAAACAGGGCCCCGTCTACTCAAATATTTTAGTACTTCACCCCAGGAACAAACTCCTTTGCATTTGGATTCAGATTGCTCTTGACCTGGAAAATAAGTACATAAAAAAGCAACTTCATTAACAGATGGCTTCAGATACTCAGAAGCATTCAACCCAGATCCACATGCAAAAACATCTTCCAAAAAATACCAGACAAACCCAAGAACTCAGATTGTAAGGTTAAACTTAACCCCAAAAAATCTATGGCAGGGAAAGGAGGAAACAGATATAAGCTATATATATCAAATTTTATCAACTTTCTTAAGAGAAAGTAAGAATTGAAATTAAATTTGCTTAAGTGTAACCATAAATCCACTAACTTCACATAAACTAAAGGAGTTTCACAGAACAAGGAATTCTATTCATTTCATTATGATATTTGACTTTCTTCAAAGAGTTGCATACTATGCAAAAATTTTAAACAAGTGTTGAAATGATGATTAAAGTGACTGGGGAATTGTTTATGGATTAATTTTACATTCTGATGCTCACTGAAAATATGGAGTTGTTTTTCTACAGCTGCTGTATTCTAATTCCCACAGGAAGCATGGTATATAACAGGAAAAGAAAACTACATGGGGAGTTAGAAGACCTAAGTCGGATTCCCAGCTCTGCCCGTAACTAACTTCCTATGTAAGCCTGAAGAAGTCACTCTCTCTGGGACTCCATTTTTGCATTAGTTTAAAAAAAAAGGGAAGAATGGGCCAAAATCTCTAGGAGCCTTAAAGACTTGTACCACCATTATTCTCTCTCTCTCTCTAAATCCTTACTTTCCTAAGCAGATGTGTCAGCATACAGGGAACAGCTGGAAATTTTCCTCTACCACATCTTGGAATGCAACTTGATAAAAACAAAAAGAAACCAGGACGGATTCCAGGACCTGAAATGTAGGCATGCTGGCAGGCTTTTAGACTGAATCTGACCCCCTTCCATTACTTACTTCAAAACCAAAGCATATTAAACATGTCGGAGCAATAATTTTAGTTTCATAATTTATACACAATCACTTCCTTAGAACGTATTCTCCCCTCTCCCAAGGGAAATATATATAAACTTTAAAAGTGTGACATTTAAATAAAAATGCACCGTTCTTGAATATGCAATCTTTTGGCAGCTACAAAAGAATGAGAAGGAATTAAAGTAATCTCAAATAGACCGAGTTGAACAAACCAGTTTCTATACAATGGAATTATACTGGGTCCAGATTAAAGTTATACATAATGCCCAGCAAAGGGCTTTACTCATCGGGGCAACCAGGGTCATCTGTGGAGTGATTAATGTAGCCATAAGCAAGCATATCCCAACAGACTATTCAGATCACACATCTGCTCAATTGGGTTACTGTCATTTACTGCAACAAAGGCTATACCACAATGTAAAATTCAGCGTTTTCTATATAGCCCTTTAGAAGAATGGTTTACAAATGCCTGATAGGGCATCCTGGCTGTCTAATAAATCCTCCCGAAGTGTTTTTCAAACATTAACATGCCTAGACGATTGATTCTGCAGGTCTGGGATGTAGTTGAGGAACTTATTTTTGTTTTTAATGCTTCAAGGTGATTATGATATACAGCCGGGTTAGGAAATCACTACACAATGAACAGAAGACAGGTGCAAGAAATACTTCTGAGTCTAGTGGGCAAATTCCAGAGAACTATCTTGTAGAAGCAACTAGAGATTGTCAATATGGACAGAAAGGTTAACATTCTGACTTTATTTTATCTTAATTTTAGTGAAGGACTCATCAGATTTTACTCTAGTACTAAGGTTTAGTTATCACAAGTCCTGAAAAAATTTTTTACTACAAATATACAACTAGCAATGAGACACTGCGAATAAGTAAAAACATAAATAAATTTGTGTTCCTTTTCTGCCAAGAGCTTATAAAAGTCCTTATTACATCACAGTTTTACTCTAGTACTAAGG